GATTCAAGCCACAATGTTGAGGTCGCCAATAGCAACTCGCTATTGAACATTAGACCGTCAGTTGAGGGAAAGGTAATAGCAAACTCTCCTTCGTTCTGCGGAGTGGATCGAGATGGCGCGCGCCTATGTCACGAGCTATGTGACACAGGCGTGTAATTTCACAGCTATTGTATCATAATGACAGTTTGGTCAGAAGGAATTAGTAGTCCCCGACATTTTGTTATTGTAACCATTGATATGACAGGATTGTCGGCACTTGAAGCGTTCGAGAGACTCTATTTTGAGATTTCAATGCACTCTAGACGGGTGACTTTCGTAAATTTGGGTTTTCAGTTCCCCCTCAAGTCAGGTGACCTGACTCAGGTCATGGTCTATAATTCCGACAATCTTGTCATACCAATGGATACAATGACAAAATTGTCTAGGACTACTAAATCCTGATTTAATTGATTTTACTAACTCGGTAGGTCGAATCTACGGTTCAACATCATACTCTTTTCGATACTTGTTGTCTTAACTTCCCATTCCCAAGCCTTTGATCATGCTTTTCGGCTCGTACTTGTCAAGTCTTTCAACTAGGCCTTCTCGGAGAAGGGGCGGAGCTCGCGTCGTACGCGCAAGAACGATTGACTTGATCGACTCCCGCGCCGAAAATGGACGGCGCAGGTTCAATCCCCACGGACGTCATTTCTAACGCAATTAATTTTCGGCGGTTTTCGAAGCGGCTGCGGATTATCCCGTCACTAAATTGGATCAGTGTGGAACTATGCACAATGATCCTGCATGCACTTGCACGAAGCGCGCATATTACTGTTGGCGGTTGGACGTTCAGGTTGGGTTTCCCGGTACATAGGTTACAGATGATGTACCTTGTACATAGTATGTACTCAGGTATCCTATGTACATCCCGGTACCTAGGATTAGACCATACATCATTGAGGAGGGAGTATTAGCACTCATATTTTCAAAGTTTGTGATTGTAGTATACTTCCATAGGCTAGACAAAGCAATCATCAATCGTTTCTTTGTATGACGTTGGAATCTTCCAGAATAATCAGAATTATCGGGGTATTTGGCAGTGATGCAAGCAAAGTATGACTCTAATTAGGATCGAATTCGGATCGCACTGATCTCCGATCGCAGTTCGCAGACGTATTCCTTCATTATGTGAACGAACAGGGGAGTTAAGTGGATTCCCGTACGTCGTGAATATTCTCCATTGAACCTCCGGCGAAGAAGTTGGATAAGTTACCCATCATGCAGCATGATTCATGCTACCTAACTTGAGTAGTATCGACCATGGGGAGATACTGGGATTGAGGTTCCCGATATCACATTGCTGTTAAGATATTAATAGTATAGGATTTTAATATTGAGTATTGAAGTCACATAATTTGGTGATATTGGAGTTGCACTTGATGTGAGAAACACATATGAAAGACACTCGTCATATTTTACTTGGCGAAATACGATAGTATCATCGGTCGCGGAAACATATACGTCCTAAAATTTACGTGAAGTATTACGCCACCTCACGTTAAATAAGTGAAACTTCATTACCAGTAATATTCCTGTAATTTTGACTAGGACTGTTTATCACATATTTATATTGTATTGAATCATAGGTGTTTATCCTTAAGAATATCAACTTAGAATGTCAACTAGTTATATTATTATTCATTTTATGTATATTATATAAAGGGGTGGACTCTATATAATTCTAAGTTAGAATTCGTAACTAGTGCATAGTCTTTCCTAACATAATATAATTTCCTGATGCTGAGAATTATTTATCCCTAGACGCACTCGTTTGAGTCGATATTTTGGACGGAATGAGGTGAGACTGGAGGAGTGCTGTCGGTTTATTATGAATATCAGCTTTGGTATTTCGTTATTTAAGCTAAGGAATTCAATTCGTGAACGTGATTTTTATACGCTTTTATGCAGTGCTGGGGGAAATATATGTTTGTTTCCTCAGCTGACTTCTATAATTTGTGGGGAAACTCCCGAGCTCAGCTGAGGTAAGTGAATAAAATTCTCAAGACTGATAAGAAAATTCAGGTAAAATAACGCGTGGATTTCAACTTCAAATCCGATAAATACTGCGAGAAATATATCTGTTTAGAACTCTCACTAAAGAACAGCTCGATCGGATAATCATTCTTGGGCGGGCTAGCACAACAGCAATGAAATTACGGAAACATCCATTTGAAACAGAAGTGGGAGTTCAAAAATTTGTGCTTGTGAGTAATGATTAATTGATCAAGATGTGAGGATAGGTCGAATCATCAGAAATTCATGAAGCGATTTTGCGCTGCCGCGTCTAGCGTTAGACTTCTCGCTAATGCGGGTTGCGCTTTTCTTGGACGACCAGGCTTCCGAGAGTTCCTCTGTACCGGCATCGAGAATCTGTCCGCCTGGTTAAGCATTCCCTGTCGAGCTCCAACTCCTATGCAATGAAGACACTGCTTGTTCTTCAGGAAAACCGGACAAGTGCAGGTGAAGTGCCTCCAGTTTGTGGATCCCACAGGTATAGTTACCATATAGATTTTACTCAGCAGAGCAGCGATAGAAACGAAGTTCGGATGCTGAAAACTCCCATAGAGAGTGCCCAGGAACTTGTGAACATTCTCCAGTGATAGGTAGGACTGAGACGCACCTCGGGACCGGACGAAGATGTATGTCCCTTGAGGCAGCTGTACTATCCGCATAGCCTCATTCTCAGCCCACTTCGCGGCGGATACAAAGAGGGATTTCGATGCGCCGAGGTCATCGATATCTTCAAACTGCCTATCCCCGGAACCGTCAGCACTATTTAGAGCCTCGCTGTACCCAGGAACCACCTGGCTCTGCACTAAAGTGAGAAATGTGCCTAACGGCAGCTTCTCTCGTAGAGTTTTTATTTTCAGCTGATTATTCATCGACTCCAAACCATTATTAGTGGATGGTAGTCTGGGTGCAAAGCCTTCCCACCAAGTGTTGTAAGGAGGATTCTCCACCCAGCTCTCCCTGATGTACTTCAAGAGCTCTGGGTGTCGTGGTTCATGTACAGCTGAGAACAACCGGAACATCTCGAGGAAGGCTTTCTGAGAAGTAGCAAGCTGCACGTAAGAGAGATCGCGCATGATAGTATTCTTCTCCCGCTCTTCCATTTTCAGACCCCTCATGAACGATTCCACGTTCTTCTTCATATGATACCAGCACATGGCTCTCCCGGAAGCTGGAAACACTTCCCCCGCAGCGGCCGTTATTGCCGCCGCTCCATCTGCCATGATGAAACTTGGTGAGTGGGGGGGAAGCCCCATCTTAGCAGCACCAATATCCATTGATAAGAACAGTTCCCGATAATCATCAATCTTCTCGCTTCCACAAATAGCAAGCGCTATAGGGAATGTGTGGTTATGATAGTCCACCATAGCGAGAGTGAGGACAGGGAAGCCGTGGAAGTTGACTTTATAGGTCGCGTCTGTGCTCATCATCACCGCCTTACGTGAAACCTCGATGCATCGACGCGTTGAATAGATAGCTTGAAAGCTCCCGTCCACAAACCGCTTGTGTACCTGGCAGCAACTTGGTGACATTCTCCGTGGATTGCAAATTCATCAGCTGCTGTTTTGATTGCATGTCTTTGAATCACGATTTTCCTTACTACGTGTCATTGAGAAGTTTACTGTGGACAGTAACTGTGGACTAAATAATACACAGTAAGGACCGTCTGTCCTTACTGTGTATTATTTAGTTTCTAAGCTTACAACAAATGCTTCGTCAGGTTCTTGAGCGCCTGGAAGCTGCGAGTGCTTTTCCGTCATGGATATGAGGTCGTTCATGGTGATAGCCATGCTTCCTCCATTTGTGGCTTTCTTGACTCGCGCGAGGTAATTCTTCACCTGTCCATCAAGAACAGGACGAAGGTAAAACACTCACATACACCCTACCTGTCGCTTGTCTTTCGGTGTATCCTCCTGTTTGATTTTTCCCTTGTTAATCCTTCTCACTATCTTATCCCATACTCTTGGTAGGTCCACCACACCCTCGGCTACTTTACGCTCGATATACTCCTTGACGTCTTCAGCAAGACCTCTTATTCTAGCTTCCTCAGCATGGACATGGCTTCCATTATTAGAAAACATGATAACCCTCGAGGAGGTGGTCTCGTAATGAAGGTAAATCTGATGCCCCACGGGATTCCCTCCAGCCATCACAGACTCTTTAGACTCTTCTTTGTGGTTGGCCGGTTTGCCGCAATCGCGGCAATAATAATAGCGCTTGAAGCCATACTTCTTAGTATAATTCGTCCTGAAACATAGCGGGCGAGCAGGTGATGTATCTGCAAGATTACCTCTGCAACGCGTACGAGCTTGTCTCTAACCATGCATCCGCGTCGTGTTCATTGTCGAACACCTTCTCTTTTTTCCATGCGATAGCGTCACCGCGCCCGCGCTTTACTCCTACCTGTACTCCTCCCTCTAATAATTCGGCACTGCTACCATCTTCATCGGTATCAGCGAGGTCTCGCCCTGCTGGCGGTAACAGAAGCTCGTTAACTCCGTTTGCGGCGATTCGTCCTTGCGAAAGAAGCTGAGCGATGTCGTGAAGAATCTGGCGGTAATTTATCGACACAGGATAGCAGATCACCCACCACCCATTGTGGGTGACCCACACACGTGGATCTGAGATGCGCTCTCACCTCCGCCGCGCCCTGACGTGCTGTCTTACCAGTGGTTGACCCTGCTTCGTCTCGAGTAGGATGGCCTGACGGACTGGACACTCTTGCGAGTGCTGTTTCTCTTATGTGTTACCTATCAATTGGGTCTCCTACATGAGCAGCTAGTGGCCTGGTCGAAATCCCACCATTGCTCTCCTCGGAGGGAAACACTCTCCTCCCTTTGACTGTTGAGTCCAAGGCCGCTCAGCGGCCCATGAGGGAAGGCCTTCATGTCTACATTGAGAGTGGGCTAGCCGAAGATTTGCTTTTGGGATCACATCGAGAACTGGTACTGCGCACCCGTTTTGAATTGGCCAAGCACTTTGCTTTCGGTTTCGGCCTAGCCGTTCTCTTGGCCTTCGCCTTAGGTACCGATTTACCCTTGTCGTCCGCATCAGGCTGTTGGCAGCGTGAAGGCAATTTTATAGGCGTACCAGTTGGTGTATGGGTTCTCATAAATTGGGGAGAGGCTACGGAGACCCAGCTGTGATCCAACGTGAAACCTAATATAGGTTATTTCCAATTTCCAACGCTGAGGGTGAAACAATGACATCCTGCTGAAGGGTGCCTCAATGTACAGCACTCAGATCATGAATTCTAGAACCGAGCCAAGAGTCGAACGCGGTAGCTTTGCATTACCAACTGGCTATTAGGCGTCAGCAGCACCTCGATTTTCCCCTGACACCCGTTGTCGTCCTTTAAGTGTATCTACGTAAACTCGGTATTAAGCTGCGAGTGACGAGTACATGAAAGATCGGTTTCTGGATGTTGACAGTTTTTCGCAGTTAACGGTCCTATCGGTGATTCGCAACTTCTGTTCCGCGAGGAGGCTTCAGAGCTCGTTATATCGTGCAACGTGCTCTAGCGAGTCAATGACTGGGAATAACTCAATGAGTGTAGAACGCGACACTCCTTGGGCCTCTAATCCACACGAAAATAACACAGGTCATCACCGATACAGGAGCATAGTTAGACTTTGATAAGCAACACGGATCGTGTTAGGTGGATCGCTCGTTGAGTAGGTCCAAGTCATCAAAAAGCAGTAAAAAAAGAATGCACACATCCGTGTACCTTGACATGGACGCCTCAAAAAGTTTGACGCCCGCAAAAGAACACAAGATAGCGTGACATACGACACCCAATAGTCACGACTCTTTCCTTCGAAAAGCACTGTTACAGTGGTACGCCAACAACTCACGAGATCATATCGCGCTCGCCATGAGAAGTAGCGCACGTCTGCGAGACACGTGAATCCACGGGCCTATTTCACAAGAAACGCTCCTTAAGGTGCACCTTGGATTTAGGAGCAAGGGGCAAGGAGCCTTACACCTTACGCGAGGTGCTTTCACTACAGTTGCACCTTATGCTCCTTATGCTCCTAAATTTAAGGTGCACCTCGTGAACCTCAATAAGGAACACGAGGAGCACCTAAACAAACACCGATGCGCATGAAAGAGTCGACGCAGTGTTTCAATAAAGCTAATAATATGGTTATTGCCATTGGATAGAACAAACTCGAAAACTTCACCATCAACTCATTTGAGAGCAATCGGCCATGATCGTAGATCGCTGAAACGCTAAGTCGAATATGCGGTAAAAATGCATGGTTCGGGGATAGATCATCCGCGGGTGAGACGCGCGCGCTGTCGGGAATATGCGGAGCGAAGCTCGCATAAAATGGTAAGGAGGGTGCGACAAGGTGCGTAAAGTACCCCCCGAGCAGTCTTACGGCACCTCACGTAAGGATCGCAAGGAGGGGCCCAAAAATGCCTCCTATGAAATCGCCTTACATGAGGAGGCCCTCCTTGCACCTTGTAGGGTAAGGAGCCTTACGGTGAGGAGCCTTATGCCACCGTACCTTACGCCAACCCCCCAAATCGTAAGGATGTGAAAGCGACTTGCCGTGAAACCGTAAGGTACCTTACAATTTTCGCTCCTTATGATGGCTTGTGAAATAGGCCCCACGTGACGTGACGTCCGCGGTGACGTGACACCTTTTCCGTCTTGCCTTCCTCCCTTCGTTCGCTCTCCTTCGCTCTTTCCAACCTTCCTCAAGGTTGTTGCGTTCTGGCAATTAACTGTTACCCACAAACGTTTAGCGGACTGACCCCTAATAGCGAGACGCGCTTAACGAAGTTCCAACCCGGAACTCCCAAACTCGCACGATGCAAGTCGCATGCGTCCCCGAAAGGGACATAATTATGTTTCACGCAAGTGCAAGAAGACTCCCGACGCATAGTGACCAATAATCCACTATAGTTCCCGAATAATATTCATTCCTTTTGGACAGTCTATGGTGAGTTGATAACGCTATCTTGCAATCTCGAAGCTTTCACACTTAGCGATATTAGCATAGATGACCAATGGCACACAATTACGTCTGGATCACATTGATTGCAAAGCTTCAACATTTTATCTTCAAACGCATATGTCGCATATGTCTTTCGGTCCCGTACCTTGCAATTGTAAGCAAATTGTTTGATACAACACTACATATAAAGGCACGCACGTTTGGGCGAACATGTTTACTCATCACACACGGATGTAAATCAGATTTACTAGATCTCATTGAACATTTAGGAGTCATAACCTTCGAGGCAACTGAGGACGGATTTATCGTGCGAATGTTTAACGGCTGTAATTCATTCAATATTTCTCACTAGATTCAGTGGAATGATCGTTTGGAGAAGTCTGGCGGTTAGGGATAGTTTCTTCGTGGGACTTCTCCTGATTCGGAAGTCTCGAGACCTCTTCCGCCCTAGAACAATCACATCATGTACTGAACTCACTCGGATTATCCGAGTCGGATATCTGGTAGACTCGGGATTCTCGGGATTAACATGCGAGTTCATACACGTGATATAAGTATACAACACGAGCTCTTTAAGTCAGTCACTGGCTATGATCCATAGCTGAGCATAGTTCATGAAGCGTGTACACACCGATTTTTTACACCGCCTGTCTCCCGCGATATTGATTTGAGCGTTGAGGTTTGCATAGATTTCTGTGTTGAGTTCAGTGTGATATACACCTCCGTTGCGAAATGGCAGTTGACTATTGTTTCGCACCTGATCCTAGTAGAATCATTCTACGTTGCACTCGTATTGTGCTCGACCATAACATTGTTGGATCGTGAGAATTGAAACACAACATGAATCATGTT